GTTTCCAAACTCAGAGAGGTCAAAGCACAAGGTTGACACTGTGAACACCATCTTTGCAGCTGGTAGAGATTCAGTGTCTTGTTGTGGATGTCCCAGTAACAGAAAGGTCACCCTTCTTCTGCTTTATTTCCTTTGATTGCACTTGCCATTTCCTTCCTACAGGCCCCATCACAATATATCATGCCTTACCCTGGGGGTCAACATCCTTCGCCAGCTTCAGGGCATCTGAGTTGGCCAAATCAGTATTAGCTGGGGTAACCGCAAGGATCAAGCAGCTTTCTCTGGTGATGAACTGCATGATCATGTCCCTGATCTGCTGCTCGATGTCTGCAGGCTGGTCTCCAACAGGCACCTTTGTGATCCCCGGCAGGTCGATGAGAGTCAGGTTTAGTACTGCACAATCAGAGGAAAGCAGGGCATGAAGAACTGGCCGTGCCTGTGACCTACCACCATTCAAGGGCAGAGCTCCATTATTTCCTTTAAATTCATATAAGTGTGGTAGCTTAGACACTGCAGCTACAGATGAAAGCACATAGTATACTGTAAATGCTAGGAAATTAGACCATCTGCAAATATTTCATAGCCTGTCCAAAAACAACTGTAGTCAGAGAAAAAACAATCTCATATCATAACATAACAAGTCCTTAGTAAGACCTAGAAGGTTTCACACCCCAATTGCTATTAGGTTGCAGCATCATTGGCCATTAGCGGAGCAGAGTGCACTGATTTGGAGTTTCATTCTTGTGTCTTTGTATCATGACACTTATTTTAATTTAGTGGCAGATCTTCATTTTCACTTAGTTACATGATAACTAGGATAAGTTTGAGCATACTAACAGCTCCAGGAGCAAATCAAATGAATGTTCTGTAGAAATGACTAAGGATCAAGAGAATTTGTGTTTTGTATACTGCACCTATGCATAACTCCACAAAACTGCAAACCTGAATTTAATTTAAATACCAAATGAAAATGAATTGTCTAATTTTCTGGTCACATGTATCTATTCAAGAACAACATTCACTTTTACAGTGCAAATAATCTAAGGACATCAGTCACTGTAGCATATTTAAATATGCTATATTCAGTCATTTTAACACAAAGCCTTTAAAGTGTCTGTCTAAGTTCAATTCCTCAGCAACATAGTAATTCATTCATATATAATTATCCTGCTGATAAAACCACACTCTTTGTTTCTAATGATTCAAATTTAAAAAAAAATTCTGCCAGCTATTCATACAAAGAGCAAGAGTATGCTGATCTAGTTTTTGTGTGCTGTTACTTTACAGTAAAAGGAAGAAAGCCGAGTTACTGTTTTCACACCATGAGGGGAGCAAACTCGCAGGTTGATGGGGACGGGAGATATGCCTTTGTTGGCCCCCGTGACGCGGTCCGTCTCTGACTCAATTTCCTGTCGAACCTCATCAAAGTCTGTGAACTTTTTCCCTTTGCAGTGGAGGAATTCAGCCCATTCTGAAAAGGTGAAAATGAAGAATGTGTAAGTGAGTTTTAGTGGTGGCTGTGCTGTGTCTGAGAGAAAAAAAAGCAGAACCATTAAGGAGGGGAAGGCTGCATTTGTGTTTATGTGTGCAAGCTAAAATGTGTGGGTGTATAACTGTGTGTGTGCCCACCTGCAGTGGCACTGATAAGCTGCAGCACCAGGGGCCTGCGGGTGACAATACCAGATCCGCGAGGCAGAAAGTCCCTGAGGAAAAACAGCATCCATGGTTTTTACATTAAATCTCATTATATCAAGCTGCACAATGTAAACATTCATTGTAGAGTGCAGGCTTGGCTATATTGACATAATGATATCTTCATCATGAAGCTTTATCTTCTGAACTCTGGAAGTACAAATTTCTTATGTTAGCTACTGCAGAGCCTTCAGTCTCATTCATCTAGTGTGCTGTAAGCCCATTCAGTACACTCTGAGTGGAGCAGGGGGCCATTTTAAAACACACAACAATGCTTGAAGCTACTGTTGTTGCAAGTGCTCCAACAGTACAGGACAATCTGACTTGATGAAGAACTGGTCAAAATAAAAAGCTACATCACTGACAGGGAGCGCTCTCATTTAAAAATTATGACTTCACCATTTCCTGTGAGATCCACACACAAGTTCATTGTGTGTGTAAATGTGTGTTCACTAGCATGTGTGTGCATATGTAGCACACGACCACCTGTGCTAAGGGTCTGTTCAAAGAAACCTTATGTCGCCCCTTAGAACTCCCTCAGGTAGGATGGGTTTAAAAAAGATGAGCCCACAGTTTGTCCATTCAGTGTTCTACAGAGCCAGCTCTGGACAGATGGACCATTATCCAGCATCACAGCTCTCAATCAGGGCTGGAACAGGACAAAATCAACACATCCATCTGGAAGTGTACACGTCATAACTGTGCAAAAATGCACCACTTGGTCACTTTGAAGACCATCTAGATATAGTATAGCTAATAGCCAGCAACTGTATGTGTCATAATTCCCTCGTTGTTTCTACAATAACCATAATGCAACCCAAAACATATTTTAGAATACCGTTGGTGTCAAATGTCTTCATCTTTCAAACTCCGTAAATTTACATTATAGGTTCACAAAAACGTACATCTGTTTTCACAGGTTGAAGTATAGTACTCTCCATGATGAGTAGCGTGACCTTTAAGTGTAAAATTGGTGGAGTGACTCTTTAATTTGTTACATACAGTAAGGCGCAGATACTGTGCTGCAAGAATGTTGCAATAACAATCAATTTAAACACTATGTCAGCAAATCCTAAGAATAAGTTCAATTATCAGACAAACTTACACCATACAGTAGCTCTAAGGCAGTCATGGTGTCATTGGTCTTTCTCTGACCAGTGTCTAAACTTCAATAAACACTAAAATTTATATTTGAAAATGGCTTCTTCCTTATCTTAAAAAAGTCCATTTAAATGCAACTGCTTTAGGTTCATTTGTGTTGGGTGACCAACTCTCAGGGCAAGATGATGAATATTCAGGCATGTTGTCACGAGTGGGAGCTGACAATGCTGCATGTACAATAGGATTCTTGCTGTAATGTGTGTCAGCAGTGTGGGGTTTATACAACACAGAACATGGCCATCATTTTTTATAACTGCATATTTTAATGTCTTTTAAAGCAATGGATTTTTCTAGGACGGTGAAGGAGCCTGGCTGCACTTGGTGCTGCCTGGGCTGAAATCCCCAGGGTGTTGCTGTAATCCAAATAGCATTTCCCTCCTCTGTTTGAATAGCCACAAAATAGTGTTAGGTTATATACTGCAATGAACATAACTAGAAGGTCTGTAGGTCACAAGCTGCAGCAGTATTGGCTCAAAGCTGAGGAGAGATGGTTCATCACAGTGATAGAGGCATCTTATGTCATGCTCAAGGTTTAGGAGAGAAGGGATTATCCTATTTCTGGTGATGGATTTTACCTGCCTACAAAGTTTTCCAACACTGAGCTCTTTCCTGCGCTCTGGCCGCCGACCACTGCGATCTGCGGCAGGTCCAGGTTGCAGGCCTGACCGATGGAGCTGAAGGCATCCTGCAGCCTGTTGACCAGCGGGATCAGCTCCTCCATGCCACGGTTTCCCATGGTGCCTTTAGACAGAGGGACTCGGGATCAGCGAATGCAGAAGGAGGCGGAGGGATGTGGCGCTGCTATATTAGTCCAGGATACCGCGGTGACTGGTGATGTAGCGAAGTCATCTAGCCGAGCATTGCCGCGAGCTAAGCGAGGGTCGGACCGACTGTGAAAGCAGTGGGGGAGGGGGGGAGGCAGAAAAGAAAGATATGAACATACAGGAACAGACAGTTGCGCAGTTGCTTACCACCACGACCGTAACCTCCCGCTGTTTTAAACACACACACACACTCAACGAACCGCACGAAGCCCATATTTCAAGGGCATTTGGCGAGTGGAGTTCCAAAGGCTGCATATAGTCACTGCACCGAACAAACCTGTCCGCCCGAGGCTCCGCAGATCAGTCAAGAATTACGCTCAGTAAATGCTAAACACAGCATGCATATACACTCTGACAGACAAGAGAAAACGGTTTCCATTAGAAATAACACAGATTGTGCCTACCCCGCCTCAGGATTCCCTCAGTGTGTTCTGTGCCCGCTGGTCCCTGTCGCTGTCCAGTGCTGAAAAGACGCACAAATCAGGCAGCCAAGACAACCCAGGACGAGTACACGAGCGCCACCTGCGATGGCGATGCGTCGACTTGATCTCAAATTCCTGTGCATTAACTGTGTTCGCTTGTGGGCCTTGCTACACGGTTGAATGTCAAAGTGGTCTCATTCCGAACACAAATTCGCCTTTGACAGATTAATCATTCCCCCCCTCCCTCTCCTCCTTTCCGCCGTGTAATTGCGAAACTGCGCCTGGCTCCTACACTATATCGACGCCGCGGAGGACCAATGAAGCCCACAGGACTGGAGACGAGGCCGGTAAGCATGGCGTCCCATTGGCTACAAAGGTACTTGTTAGGCTACCTGGGCCCGCCCCCTGTTTACATCCGTGCCATTTCTGCCGTCGTGAGTCATGCGGCACGGCTGCGCATCGCTGCTGCAACAGAAGAGGTGGATGCGCTCCTTCAGATCCCTGCAGTAGGAGCAGGAACCGGTTGTCGTATATTTCTTACACTACCATGTGATACTTGGCGCAGGCAAGGACAGTCATTTTATAAGTCGCCTTGCTTCATGCATATAGTTAATGCATACTTTGTGACACTGACGTTATCGGTCCACGTTTGGAAACCTTAAACCCAAAGAAGCTTTCGCTGACTGGCCACAAACGTGTGATGCTTGGTTCCATAATCACTGCAGGCCGAGGCTAGTAGAAGCAGTCATGCAGAAAGGACGCTACCATTCTGTCTTAACATTTCCCAGGACATCAATGCCAGATTAAAAAAAAGAAGCTTCTCTCCTCCACCTGATATCTACTTTCATGAAATCATGAGGAGAGGCCTAATTTGCTGGGATGTTAAAAAGAGCTCTGACTGCCGATTCAGTGGGGATATAACAGGCTGTGCTCTGTGCACCCCCTCCATTTGCCAGTGACAGTAAAACCTAATCGATTTAGTCGTCGGTATTCACCCTTTTCACTGTGGTTAGGCCTCCAAATGTCTAGTTGACACATCATGTTGTAGTGAAGTGAAATGTCACTAGGTGGCAGTAGCGATCCGATCACAGCGGTTCTGTTTGGGCATAGACATTGTATGTACTGATTATCTATATAAAATAGTTTTAGAACTCATTTAAACATAGTTGAATTATTATAAAAACATTTGGTAGTTATAGGAATCCACACATGTCAGGGGGGGAATATTTTTGATGATAATAAATTCACAATAATGGGAAAAAAACTGAAGTAGGCCCGTTTGAGGTGTCTGGTGGTGTTTTACTGTGACTAAATTTGTTGTTTGGACATAAATGTTATACTGACATAAACATTTTCTGACTGCTCAGGTGGCCCAGCTGACCGGGAGAGGATGGATGGTTATCTAGTAACATCTATCCAGCACCCGTGCCAGATAGTGTACTATAGTACAGTGCAGCATAGGGCAGAGTAGCATAGTGTATATAATAGAATATAGCATCAGTATAATAATGTACTACATTACTATACAGTCAGTAAAAAGTAATATTCTTGTTTTAATAAGTGTTTATTGCTGTGAATAAATTTTCTCATAGTCAAAGTAATTTTTACCAAGTGTTTATATTATTTTGTGTACGGTACAATAGATTCCACAGTATTACAGCTGTACAGTTTAGTGCACTGTATGTTTCCTCAGGGGGATGAATGATGAAGCTTGAGAATGAACATCCACGTAAAGCAAAAGTGTGTATTGTTTGTTACTGTACATATATTGTGAACAAAAGACAGATGGTCGAGTGCTGTCGGAGAGCAGATTATGGCCAGGAAGAGTAGTTTTCAATATGTTGGTCTCCATGTGCCCATGTGCTACTGGATCATCTGTTTCCCATGCTTCATCGCAACACTGTGTCTGGACAGGATGGCACTGTGTGGTCATCATGTTTGAGTTCTTAAAATAACCTACTGTAAATGGTAATATACATATATATTACTTTAAGCACACCCAAAACTATTTACACTATTTCCCATTCACACACTGGTGATATCAAGAGGAGAAACTAGGGTTCAGTGTCTTGTTCAAGCACATATCAACATGTGGAGTACTACTATGTTTACTGGAGTAGCTGGGAATCGATCTGCTGACCCTACAGTTAGAGGACAACCTGCTCTATCTCCTGAGCCACAGCCATACTACAATATGTACAGTTTGAGCAGCAGAGTCCAAGTCACAGACAGTACTGCAGATCTAGTTGTTGAATTTGATACAGCCTTAGATCTGAATCGGCCTCAGCTGGCTTTGCCTTTTCTTACTTTCTCTAATGAGACTTCAAGGCAACTGAGATGAGTTAAGTAGAAATATACTGTATGAGCTCCTGTCATTTCAAGATGAGAACAGATCAGTGTTTGAGTTGTGCAAACTATTCATGACAGTGTTTGAGAAAATGAGTAGCCACGCGGTGAGAGTTTGGGTCGCAGGTAGAAAAGGAGGAAGTGAAACTGAAGGTGTGGAATGTACTGTATGTACTGCAGTTGCTGGAATCATGTAACCCATACTTATAAAACCAATGTGCCTCAAGCGTGATGCTCTGTGAGGATATAATACAGGAATTACAATTTTCACACTATATTTAGATGAGGTAATGCCGCAAAAGTCAGCGACATGGGTGTTAGTTATGGAGAAATTACAAGGCAGTATGAAGTTGTAAGGTGTTTAAAGTACACATTTGTCATATTTTGAATTTTAAAAGATTTAATTGTACCCTCATGAGCTATTTAAAAAGTATCGTAATTAGTCAGACTTTAACACTTTGACATCCGATGATATGTACTCATTGTTAGTCATGCTAGTCAGTGGTGGAAAGTAACTACTGTAAGTACATTTACTCAAGTACTGTACTTAAGCACAATTTTGAGGTATCTATACTTTACTTGAGTATTATCATTTTCTGCGACTCCATATTGTGACTTCACTGCATTTTATTGGCAAATATTGTACCTTTTACTCCACTATGTTTATTCTAAAACTTTACTTACCAGTTACTTTTCAGAACCAGATTAATCCAAACGATACAGTTTAAGTATAAGACCTCACTGATCTATGGTGGAAAATTCACAAGCTACCAAGCAACATGAGTTTGCTGGGGGAGGCAGTTTTAGTAGGCTCCACCACAGTGGTGTGGTGACATGCTATTCCAAGCTACTTGGCCGCTGACTTTACCCTGACATTCATAGACAAGATCATCTTCTCATTTAACTCTTGACAAGAAAGCAAATATATGTCAAACTGTTTCTTTAGAAGATCCCGCCTTGCTACCTGTCCTATCAAATCAAACTCATTTTCACTCTATTAGCTACTTCTAGTCAGTTGATTCATACAGGGCTTATATTTTCTTTCCAACATCCTGAAAAGAAGACACAAAAAAAGTAATAATAATTATTTTGGGAAACCTTTAAACCCCTTCTGAGTCTATGACTTCTAGACAAGATGCACAATACCTGACCTCACGTGTTAAATAGGTTGCGTGCTATGAGTCGGATCTGATCTGTTTGTATGAGCGACTGTCTGTGTTCACACTGGACACTCTGGAGCCATGTCAGTCTGACTGTGTCAGTAATGAGAACCTCTGGGCTAACACCTGCATTGAGCTGACAAAGACACATACCTTCTGTGCTGATGTGAAGCTGAGGTTTTGTGTGTGTAGATGCATTATTCACTGTGATTACACCCTGTCAAGTCACAGCAGACAGAGGGCCATTTTGGATGCATTTCTCTCAAACAAATCACAGTGAACATTAAACTACAGAATTACAGCCAAGGTGCTAACTTTCAATATAACTGCTAAACATGAATCAAATACAGTGATTGGTCTGCACTTCAGCAGCTTCCATTGATTACATATGAAGTGTCAAGATTGTCTCACTCTCATAAAACTGGACACACAGGGAAAATCGGTGGCAGTCAAGCTTTTTTAGTTTCAGACTGGGCATCGAGACTAACTGTTAAAATGTCACCTGTACATGGGCGAGGGAAGTTTTGTGTCAGGGTAGTAAACCACTGAGGGCTCAGTGCTGCTCTGGTAACTGATTCATTTCTGTATTACACTGTACACCGACAACAAAGACTGACACCCATGCAAATGCATGTCATGCAACACTTCACACCTTTAAACACGCGTCTGGTGAGCCAGTGATTGTTGACACTGAGCATTTAATTTTCCACATCTGTCCGGATTCAGCAGTCACTAATGGCTTTTATAAATCAGAATGTTCTTCTAGGTTTACAATGGGTACACTTGTGTTGGACTCCAGTGGTGATATATTTGCTATTTCCTCTCTGTGCAACAGTGAACGAAATAGGCCTCTGGGCTATCTACAGCACGAGCAGGGCAAAAAGTGCAATTGTGATTTTCCAGCTGAACCCCGAGATGAAGTGAAGAAGAGCTGGGAAACCAACAACAGGAAGAACAGAGTGGCCAGTGCTTTCATAGTGTTGGGACATCTGTACACGACAGTCAGCTAATCTGCACCCAGCGCCACTATCAACTATGTGTCTGACATTGCCACTGGCATGGGGCGGGCTATCACTGTGCCCTTCAAGAATAAGTACTGTTACAACAGCATGCTGGACTATAACCATGCCGAGAGGAAGCTGTGTTCTTGGGACAACTACCACATGGTCACCTATGACATCAGACTGGGCAAGGGGAGGTAAGAGATGCCATCACAGACAGGCTGCTGTTTACTGGACTTTGCGAGAGCAAGGTTATTGAATTAAATAAAATGTAGATATATTATGATGACAGAGATATTCCTAAAGTATTAGTATGATAAAAACCCAGATATGTCAGTTATTATTACAAGCTAATAGCAGTTTAAAATTGTGAAAATTTTCACTATCTGTTAATAAATATTCATGTTACTTAAGTCCTCTATAAAAATTTTGAAAATAAATTTCTGCCTGTTTGCATCATGATTTGGTTTGCAAGTTAATTTTTATAGTCACAATCCTTTTGGACAAATTTTATGCTACCTGTTATTCTCTCCAATAATGGCAAGTTTAGCTAGAGTATCATTAGATGATGTATAGAGTAACAGTGACAGGTATCTGCCTGATGAAATTGAGCATTTTTAGCACTGATGAGAAACTTTGTACACATGGGCAGAACCAGGGAAGGCCTGGGGGGGCACCAGCCAGTTGGCTGCATCTGCATTTTACGTGCACACTAGTCAATTCTGATGTAGTTACCCACTAGCAAAACTAAAGAACTAGTCTTCTCTTTGGCTTCTTTAACATTTTAAAACCAAATCCACATAAATTCACCACTGCTTAATTTGGAAACTGCAATACTAGACTATGTCTAGTAAAATTTATGGGGTCGGGGGGGGGGAGCATCATGATTTACCAGCAGTGCAAAGGGAGATGGGATGTGTTATAGTATTGTGATGGTCAGGAGATTCTGCAGCAGCTGATGGAAGCTTGAGTAAGTGTCAGGTGACTTCCTCTCACCAGCGTTTGTGTGTTGGTACAACATAAAACCACAGACCTCTGAGATACTGTGTGACAATGTTGTGAGACAAGGTTCTCACTTTGCCAGGAAGCACTGTCATTTTCAGAGTGGTTTAAGCTTTCATACACAAATTCATAGTGTCACAGTAAGATACAAAACTATATCTGCAAATGACACACGTCTTACTTTGACTGGATTTGTATAATTTTTAAAAATGCTCTAATTAAATTCAGCATTGGTATCAGCCTTGTGAGATTAAGTCCATTAAGTCAATACAACAAGCTGCCAGTTTCCAAATCATTCAGTTCAATATTTCCAATTCATTATATAACAAAAAACACAAACAGATACACATAAAAACAGATAAAAACTAAATATAAGGTTACTGATTCCAGCCAGCCACCCACCATAAGCCCTGGTGAGTGTCTGTCGCAGTTGCATGAGCAGAAGGTCCTGCAGGCGGTCCTAGATCACTCACAGCCTTTCTACCAGGCTATACTGGCAGTAACCCATAGCCAAGCCAAAGCCCACATCTGTCACATAGTGTCTAGCAAACAGCAGCTGGGACATGCTCACCAGAGCTGCCCCACCCCACCACCAGGACCCATATGGAAGCTGTATCCACCACTTGGGCTAGGAGGAGCGAGGCACACATGGCAGGCCATGTGGCGTGGCCTGAAGGGAAGGAGTAGCACTCCATGAATAAGGTGGTTCTGAACAGGCCTTTGACATTTGACCAGATTCTTCATAACTCTGACCAGGAGCAGATCCTACACACAGCTGTGAGGAGGAAAGAGAGAGGTACAACAGGCTGCAATCCACATTACTGGCTGAAAGTGGAGCTTTTCAGAAAGTAACTCAGGTGACTTTTTCACTTGGTAATTGTTTCTTAACATTTTACCGGCTTGTAATAGAAATCCACCCTCTGCCACTCAACTGATGTAGCAGAAGGCCCTGTCCTTCAACTTGTTCAGCTTGTAATATCTCTTGTTTAAGATTTGCATCAGCACCACACTAGTTCTTCACTGGCCAGTGATCTAACCCTCTTATTAACTACAGAACTCCAGGTACCACAAATGGTTTACAACTGGTCCTACGGAAGAAGCAAAAATATGAAACAAGTATGTAGTCAAAGAAGCAAAAAGTTTTTTCACAACCTGGCGAGCCTAAAGTTGATTTATTTAGCATCATGGATAAATATTTAACGATAAATAAGTCATATATTACACATATAACAGCATGTTTTCATCATTATTAAACTTTTCAAACTACAAAAGAGAAATATCTGAACAGTGTTTCTCAAACAATGCATGCTGGGAAATCATGTTTTTTTTTTTTCTATATAAACCTGAGTTGAGTAATTTCATTCAGTCAAAACGTTATCATGTTCTAAAAACAGACATTATAAGTTGAATTAACTTAGGAAGTAAAACTTACATTAAGTTCATGAGAAAAGTCTATTCCACCAAATTCGGTATACTGTTTTGACGTGTCACAAAGCGCGTAATAACGCAACAGCTTTAGCCAAAGTGGTGATAAGTTTAAAGGTGCGTGAACAATGGACGCCTAAATGAAAGCAGGTGTATCCCATAATGTCCTATATTTTAAATAACTTTGAAGACTGCTACTGTTCAGGAAATTTGATTATAAAATCAAAATGTTGTTCTTTTTAAGCCTGAGCCGAAGTAAAAAGGTTGAACATGTTGTTAGCCAAAACCCTAAATGTGCATGGTAAATAAATTGAATGGTTGTGAAAACGTTAAAGAGCAGGGATGGAATAAAGCATAAAATGAATCAATAATTTGATTGCAGAAATGTGTCTGGGCATTTTCTGAGTCATACATAATAACGCAGGAGACACTCTTACCCCAGCCAAATTCAGCATGGCCTCCTGCTCGCAGTTCCGAGAGCTCCACCATCCGCACCAAGGGCCGTATGCTGCCCCATTGAGACTCCTCGCAGGCGACAATTTCATTTGACAAAGTGGTCTTGGTAATACCCTTTATGGACCTCCCGTGGCCAGTAAATGCTTTAATCCTGCTGCGCTTGTACCCAAAGCATCTTGCAGTCTGGAGAGTCTCTTCTCCTCTGTAGATGGGTTCAGATGTTAGCAACTGAGAAGTGACTGCTCTGGCCACTGATATAAGCTATTATCCGCCCTATTATTATGCATTATAAATAGCAGAGTTTAACTTTGTTTCTTTTGAACCGTAATTTCTCAAACAAACGCGCTGCATCTGTAACTGATGCAGTGGATTTTTTTTATTAAATTTGTTCTTATTTTAGTGGAGAAGTGTTTCAGTGCTGCACTTGAACAACATGCCTATATTGTTGGTAGGACACTGAGCTGGATGTGTGCGTAAAACGGCCAGTAGGAAAACTCACAACAAGGCTACCAAACACCTGAACACACCACGTTATGATACTGAACGCGACCTTTGACGCGCAGCTTCCGCCCCCTTATTCCCTGCCACCAGAGCCGCTACTGAACAGGCACTCGCACTGAATATGCCGGGACTACTGCTCGGAGATGTATTTCCTGATTTCGAGGCAGAGACCACCGCTGGCAAAATTAAACTCCACGAATTTCTCGGTGATTCGTAAGTGTGCTTATTAACTATGGTCATTTATTCTTGGGTGCCGATTCGAAGGCTTGTTTTCAGTCATCATGCCAGGGAATGGGAAGTTAGGGGCTTGCGTTCAGTTCCTGCTACTATTTGACTTCTGCATTAGACCCTTGCCATAGATGTGTATGCATCTGAACCTACAGTATACACCTAAAATGATGTTACCATGGTCAATAAGCACCTCTGTAAGTCGTATCTCATACAATATGTGTCGTCCTGTCAGTTATCAGAAGCACTGCTGTAGTTCATAGTAAAATGATCCAAATCAAAAGCATCATTAAGAGGACACAATTCAAATATAAATTAACTGTATGGTGCACAGTCGTTTTGCCACAAAACCTTTGAGTGAGGCAGTCATCACATCCTGTCAGTCTGGTGTCAGATGCTCCATTCAGCTAGCAGTCCACCAATATGTAGCAATAGTAACTACAAGACGAGGTCAAAATCTGAGAGGAAGTGAAGACAGAAACCTGCTTGTGAAATCAGGTTGCACGCCCCCGTTACACAAGTGGCCCTGCAATAACCTCACTCTTTTCACTGCAGATGGGGAATCCTGTTTTCCCACCCCAGAGACTACACGCCTGTGTGCACCACAGAACTGGGTCGAGCTGCCAGACTGGCCAGTGAGTTCACTAAACGCAGTGTGAAAATGATTGGCCTGTCCATCGACTGTCTGGAGGATCACCACGGCTGGACCAAGGTTCGAGAGCTACAGCACCTTTGTTGCAAAACCACATGAGGAACAAGCTGCTCTCAGTAAACATGAACAAGTCTGTCCATAATGGGTAATCTTCTGTAGTTGTCAGCAGGTTTACACTGGCTACACAAGACGATTGTTTTAACAGCAGATTAGATTACATAGATTATGATATTTTAGTGTGTAGCAGGTCCTAACTACACCTTAATATAGTCATGTTAATGTGGCTGAAATTACAGTTATGTGTGACCTACAGTAGACATCTACATTGGCCTTCACTTTTCAGCCAGAGAGCCTTGTCCCAGCATGGACGTCTTGACATCTTGTGACCTGCAAATGTCAAATACTCACTAGAAAAGCTGGCACTGCAAAGATGAATGTGAAAAATAACATCATCCATAATCCAACATTCATAATAATCATCCAGGAGAAAATGCCTTACAGTTTTGTAAGACGAGCTGTGTCACAACTGAGGAGCCTCCGTCTCAGTGGAAAAATAGATAAAGTGGTATGGTCACTATCAACAAAGAACTTTGGCTGCAATAGTGAAACAAGAAGTTACAGTTATGGGTTGTTTAAGTTCAAATTAGTATACTGCATCTCAGCCATCAAATCTTGTTTATATTTACTATGTGTGCTACAATATATGTTTCCTTTAAACTGTTCTTATTATAAATATCACCGAATATTATAGATATAACTGACTAAGGACATTTGATTCTGTACTAACCAGGACATCCTGGCATACAACTGTGAGGAGTCTGCCTGCTGCTCGCTGCCCTTTCCCATCATAGCGGACAGTAAACGGGAGCTGGCAGTGGCCCTGGGCATGCTGGACCCAGACGAGAAGGACAAAAATGGCATGCCGCTCACGGCCCGCTGTGTAAGCACAGTCACGCTCTCTGCCAAACACAGAATTTAATTTGCCTTGGACTCATTTCCTATCATAAGATCCTCATCCTCTCCATCTCTCTCTGATTTTGTGTAGGTGTTTATCATTGGCCCAGACAAGAGGCTGAAACTGTCACTGCTCTACCCCGCCACCACAGGACGCAACTTTGATGAGATCCTGCGGGTGGTGGACTCGCTCCAGCTCACAACAGTGAAACGAGTGGCCACACCCGCCGACTGGCAGGTAATGTGAATCACACCTTTGTATGCGACATCAGCGGCAGACTACATACATAAAAGACCCAGGAATTATTTGTTTTCTGTGTGCGCAGCCTGGAGACTGTGTGATGGTTCCACCAAGCATGCCTGAGGAGGAGGCTGCCTCCTTGTTCCCTGCTGGTGTGTACACCAAAGACCTGCCCTCAGGCAAGAAGTACCTGCGCTACACACCCCAGCCATAAGCACAACACTGAACCTCAATATAGCAGGTCTCAATGGTGCCCTGGTCGTCAAGGCCCTAATTACTGCCAGCTTCTTCTTTAACAAGTAGATAAACACCAGCAGGCAGATGGAGATTAAGCTCAGTGGCATAAGAAGTAGGATTTTTCTAGTAAAGACATTTTATAGAAGGTACAGCTTTAGTAAGGAAGGTTGCAGTTTTTAACCTACTTTTCTAAATGGGATTTTTTTTTCCCAAGAGGCTGTGGTTGAGATGAAAGTATATATTTAATACTTAAAGAATACAGTATGGCAAAAGAAATGTCTAGTTTGTAGCATTAGTAACAATATTTCAATCAATTTCTTATTTACACTATTTTGTTTCCCCATGTACCTATTGTTTGTAGACCAAAGCAAGAGGAAGTGGTTTAATACACCAGATGAACTAATGACTACACTGAACTACTATTTCATTGCTGGCCATCAGCCTGTTAAGCTTCCCCAAACAAAGTTTATATTATATGTAGTAGAAGCAGCAGAACTGTCTGCTACCAAATAACTGTAATAACTTTGCTTTGGTTTTGCCAGCCAAAACTAATGAATTTATACAAAGTCTAATGGATTTCCTGTACCTACACTCTAATGTTGGACTGTATGATGTAAAAATCTGACAATAAAAGCATCATAATTGCTATTTTCTTTGCATTAATATTGGACTCAGGAGCGCTGTTTTGCCACAACGTGCTTGCTCTGCTGTGACTTCGACACCACTAAGAGCTCCCTTTGTTTGGAAGAAAAAAAGGACACTGCTTAAAAATGAATGAATGTCTCTGTTGAGTTGCACCAAATTATATATCAAACAACTAGACAGCAGTGACAGTGAAAGGCATGAGCCCATTTCATTTTAATTATTAGGAATACATTTCAAGGTGACAGTACTTGATGGTATTTGACTTTGGGTGGCACTGAGGGGACACTAGGAAGTCAAACTATCGGTCTCTGTGTCCTCTTTGCTTTGGGTAGAAGTGCAGCAGTGGATCCAAAACACAGACTACCAAAAATCTGCAGAGTTCCTGGTTCCATCCAGGTTGTGGATTTCTCGTCATCATTACATCACAAAGACTCAGTACCAGTTGGCCCCCCCCACCACCATTATCATCTCTGGTTCATGATGGCTTGGTACTCCCTCTGGTGGGCGAAAAGTCGCAGGAACACCCTGTACTTTCTCTCATAGAAGCTGAAAAGTAAATGCAGAACAACGTGATGTACTATTAAAATACCCAGTAATGTGTATTTTACTTCTTGCTGTAATAAAACCCAGGGATATCATGCATAGTGATATCTTATCATAATATGGTCTTGGCTTAAAGGATACTACACTAGTATAAATGTTGATGACACCTTGATAAGTGGAACAAATTAGAAAAATACTCAACTTTTATCTATTTGAGTCACCTTGTACATTTAAAATGAGATTATAAATAAAACATTTTTATGCATCTAAGAATATGTATTACACATTAAATGTACAGACTGAATTAAAAGAAAATACAGAAATAAATTCTAAATGAAAGCACAAAAATTATTAATTTTCAAAAATGGCTTCTGAAAACAATAAATTATTGCTGTTAAAGAAGATGGCTTTTTAGTCCATTTTTCTTACTATTCCACAGAACCACCACAGCAACCACAACTTCCACCAGTTGTTTTAACGAAATCTTCCCTTCTCACCTCTGGAGTTCACAGTCAGGCTGAACAACTGTCCCCACTTTCGCCATATTCTCCATGGCCTCCTAAAACATCAGTAGCAAAGAAAAATATCACTCAATAAATCATGTTGCACATATTCAGTTTCAGGCCGCTGTGACCCAGTTTATAGGAGGAAAACAGGCCAACACACAACCGTGACTGAGTCTACAACTAATGTGGTGCAGGGCCTCTCTGCTGTCTGAGCTGCAGCTCAGAGGATCAGTCACTGCCTGCTGCACTTATGGCTGAAAACGGGTCGACAGGTGCCGCCTAATCCAAACCATATTGTCTTATTTTTAGTATATCCGGCTTAAAGGCATTCTCTTGTGCTCTGGTACTGAGACACCAAAGGATAATAAGTTAGCAAACGATTAATCCATACTTTAGAGCTAACACATGCACAAATCTGTGTGACAGAAGCAAACATGGCTGTGCACGCTAGTTCCACCCAGCAGATGGAGGCATTGAGTCGATATCTGAGGTCAAATTTATTGGGCTACATAACAATACAAATGGATTATGAAGTTCGGTTTACTCTTCATGAGGAGTACGACTATGGAAACAGTGTATAATGTCCTCCTGGGCTCCAGAGGCAGCTTTGTTAAGTGAGAAAAAAAAGACCAGATTTTAATGATTGATTTTATTCTTTAAAACAGGGTGTCTACAGCTTTACACACGTCACATTTAAGACTTTTTAAGACCTTTTTAATACCACTTTAAATAAAATTTAAGACCAAACTTGCAATGGAAATACCAAAAGTAAAAATCTTCTCTTTACGAGATAACACACTGTAGTCAGTTCAAAATGAACCGTAAGGTAGAAATAATGATAAGACCACCTCTGTTTTACAATATAATGTCAAAAGAATCTGTATTTTTTGCAAATTACTTTAAACACCTCCACCATCCAATGTGCATAGCCTGTATTTGTAATGCAATTCAGAGACAGGGAGACCTATGGGAAAATCACATCTGGAACAGTGACAAAATGTGGAAAAGTTCAAGGGGTATGAATACTTTTGCAAGGCACTGTATATGTATGGATTTATTAATTTAAGTTTCCAACACAAAAATAGGCTAATACGTGATAACTGATTTATCCAGCTGTCTGTGGCAATTACACTTCAAATGTGCCAAAGGAAAAAATAGACTCGAAGTGTAAACCAGGGGCCCCGGGATGACGCGTGTGTCTCGGAGTCTGTGTGGATCAACACATTTAACAGACTGGAAGTCGCCTCAAGTGAGAGCAGTCGTGCCTTCTTAACTTGTTTATTTTGCAGTCAAACTGAGTGTGAGCTTTGAAGAAGTCAGTCGCACCCTAAATAAATTTGGCTGCAAAATGCGACTGGTCATTCGCAGCCTGGAGCCCTCCTAAATTTTATTATTAACAATTCTTAAAAATAATAAGTGATAATTCTTCTTCTTTGGTCTGCTTTGGTCAGGCAGACGAGAGAAATTCTCACAGTGACAAAAAAA